TATATATAGATAGATAGATAGATAGATAGATAGATAGATAGATATATATCTATATCTGTTGTGTTTGAAAATGAAATTTGAAAGAATGATGAACACATGATTTGTTACACCATTATTTTGTAAAAGTAAACTTTTCTTCTAATTTATGTTAAGATGGCCATACATTGTTTGACTTCTATTTGGAAATGGTACACGAACGGTCTTTCAAACGAAAATCGAACAGTTGATGGTACAGCACTGATTTTCGTTTTTGATATTGTGATTGAAATATTTGTATAATTTGGTTTGAAACTTTTTCTCTGACCGAACGAAAATCAATTAATCAGTGGGGTTTGAACACAGCACATGCGCAAAAGGAAATTTTTTCCATCGTTCATCATAAATTGGTTGGTTAGTATGGCTAATGAACAATTTACGAAATCGACATTTGACAATGCTTGATGAGGGGATGTCTAGGTATAATCAAATGAGGGTTCATGCCAAAAACTAAACCTCTAGAACGAAAATCTAACAATGTATGGCCACCTTTAACTTTTTTCACTTCCACCTTTTTATTCTTTCTCACTCCTTGCATTTTTGTATAGCACCAGTGAAACTACTTTGGCATCAGCATTAAATGTAGTGATACAACCCAGGTTCAGAGCACATGTGCAACAAGGACTTTGATGTACTGTGTGTGTGTCAGTGAAAATATAAATATATGCATCGGAGAAGCAACCAAGAAGGCCATGGTAATGCTGAATAAGCACATACTGTATATGGGGTAACCTGTCCTTGTGTAATGCTCGAGGAATGGGGGCTGATGAGTTTTATAGGTCACAGCCACTGATGTCTGTCAATCACAAGTATGAATCTACTCAAGTTCCCCTCAAGCCTGTGGAAGGCACTTAAGCACAGGTGAAGCTACCATGAGGGTGAACAGTCAGTAAGGCAGAACGGTAGTAAAAAAAAGTAACTATAGTAAGAGCTCTCTGAATACACAGTAGCAGCTTGTCTTTGCTTTAAGGTGCCCATACACCTTACGACCATCACAAGACTTTTGTCTTGCGATGGTCGTATGCTTATTGAAAGCTCGTACGATCTGGCCACCTTGGACGGGCAGATCGTACTTGCGATCATCGAAAGCCCACCCCACTGAGGGGCGGGCTTCCGATGACTGCAATGCAGAACGGGCAGTGTCCGCGTGCGCACAGCGGCCCGTTCCGCAGCTATCGGACGAGCAGGCTAGAAACCCGCCGACAATCGTACAATTCTCGGCGGGTTTTCGAACATGTTGGTTCGACAAAAGACGTGCGACCGTACAGTAGAAACGGTCGCACGTCTTCGTTCACACTGCTCGATTCTCGTACGATCGCAGGATTTCGCCCGATTCTCGTACGAGAATCGAGCAGTGTATGGGCACCTTTAGAGAGTTAATGTCCAGGAACAGGTGTAGTTAGATATCACCTGCATGCATGGTAGTTGATTACATAGAGTCAATGAATAGAGAAAGTTTTAGTGAAACAAAACTTTACACTTTGTGAAACAATTAATGTTCATTGTATTTAGTATTGAATAAGGTGATACTTGCAGTCAGTAGGCTCAGGTGTGTAGTGTCTTGAGCAGGTAGTGAAATCCTGGATGAATCCCAGAGTCGTAGTGCTTAGCTGAAAGTCCTGGAGTCTGTGCAGCATGTGGTTGCTAATGGCAACTGGAGAGATCTGGAGCAGCATGCAGGTGTACACAGCAATGAGGCGTGAGGCACATCCATCAATAGGGAAGAGTTGATGGAACAAAGGATCCACAGGTGGTATGGAAGGTGTTATGCTCAGGGTTAGCAGGGTATGAGGAGGTTCAGCAGGGATGTTGACTAAGCACATGGAGGCAGAGTCTCTATGTCCAGCATCTGCATTTGTTGCACAAACACAGGACAAGTAAACCTTGTGGTTTAAATCAGCAAGGAAGGAGGAGAGTTGTGATGTCGTCAGCAAGGGGGCAGAGTCAAGGCTACAGATATAAAAATGGATTCTGCACAAAGCTGGGCTTTATAGTAGAAGCGGCACCCCTAGTTAGGCAAAGGGCAATAGCATCGTATTGTGCTTTTGTGGAAAGATGGTTACAGTTAAGGGCAGTTTTTGTTATATCCAAGTATAGGGCATTTTTACACGAAAACCTACATGGTACAACCATTGAAATCACCCTGGACAATTTTCTTGTCCAAGCCACCATTACTGTGCCTTTTGCAGAATAGCAGTTTGTTTTGGTGTGTTAGGCCTCATTCACACTAGACACAGTGCGTTCTGGCCAGAACGCACTGCATCATATTGCAGCCTGCTCACTATGTTGTGGGGCACGAGGGAGCATGGCGGTCCATTGAAGTGAATGGCACCGTAGCCACGCCCTCTGACTGCAATGCGATAGGCTGCACGGGATTGCGAGGCACATTATGCCTGCGGTCTGGTCCGAACAAAATGCTGCAAGCACTTTTTTCTTCCAACCGAATAATGTGCCTTGCGATCCTGCGGGGCCGATCGCATATCGGCCGGAGGGTGTGGCTACGGTGACATTCACTTCAAAGGACCACCACGGCCCCTCATGCTCTACAACATAGTGAGCCGGCCGCAATGCGATGCAGTGAATTCAGGCTGGAATCGGGCCGGAACGCACTGTGTCTACTGTAAACGAGGCCTAAATGATGAAAATATCACAGTACAGCATAGCAGCAAAATACACAAGAAAACCAGAATATTTAGTTACTACCATTGATTTTTTTCTTTTTTTGTTATTAAAGATCTTTCAGATAAAAACAATAGCTAGTGAGACTTGTGTTTTATGTTTTGCAACATTTTAAAAAGTACATATATCTAAGTTTAAGATGAAATCATTTTCCCAGAATAACATTTACATTACTGTCCATTGAGGGACATAGGGGTAAAGTAAATCATAGATGTTTGGGTATGTTGTTACCTGGTGTTGTATGGTGAACACTGGCAAACAGAAACAAATTGAATGCCAGCCCACTATAACCCCGCTGCTAACCATCATGCCTCAAAAACTAGCTTTTTGCTAGTTTTCTAGAAGGTTGGACAATTTCTCTTCAGCTCTGATGAGGGAAAACGCTTTTCTCTCTTCTATCAACCGCCCCAGTATTTTGTGGATGATTTTTGTCTTGATTTTAAGACTTTCATTAAGCTGCTTGAGCTGGTCTATATGCAGCATCTATCTGGATCAGCTAATCCTCAGCGCTGGTCTATATGCAGCATCTATCTGGATCAGCTAATCCTATCCTTCTCTTTTCTGTAGATGTGTGACTCTCTCCACCCTTCCTTAAAATCAGCTTGGTAGTTCCCCCTTCTTTTTTCACATTAAAGGTCTCCTCCCCCTCTCCCTTTAGATTTCTCTGCTATGCTGTTTTATTTTGGATCTGCCATTCCTTCAATTCAAGGTTTAAGGGTTTTCTGCTTTTATTCCCGGATGTTCATTGGTTGATCTTGGTGGAAACATACTTTTTTTTTTTTTGTCCCGTTTTCCTTCCTGAGGTCAAGAATTATATATTCTAGTCTTCAGCCTTTACCTTACATACATTCTTGGGTTTGTTGACTGCTGGTCTACATTTTCCTCACCTGTTGCTTCCTTATGGCCTTTCTTGGGGTATCCTCCACTTTATTGGTGTATTCCATTTTTCTTTTAGATATGTCTTTACCTAGCGGTGCTACCTGTCCTGCTTTGGAACAACAGATTCATTCTTGGTGCCTTTCCCTATAATATCGAATTTAATATTGTTCCCCTATTTTTATTTTTTATTTTTTTTTACTGGCCTTTCAGTCAAATATGCCTTCGGATACACTATTAGTAAGATTGCTACATCCATGACCCTCAAACAATAAAGAAAATCCAATTTTTGTACTTTCTTGGAGTCTATTGAGGGACACAGTATAAAGAACTTACCTCTCAGGCATCACGGACCCGGAGTGGAGCTCCGCCTCCCCGCCGGTGACGTCATACGTCGCCTCCCTCCTAGTCGGCTTAAAGCCGTAAAAAATTCAGTTGCACGGCGTTCGTGCAATGAAGCTGAACACCGGCAATTGAACCTCCCCATTAAGCAGCTCCTGAGACAGCAGTTGTCACTGCTGTACAACAGAAGTTCCCACAATATCTGTTTAGTTACGGCAATATCTGAGTAATTGCAGTAACTATCCTCTAAAGAGTTTGTAGATATTCCTCTGAACTTCTATTAACTGACGAAGCTGTTTCTTGCAACCCTTTGGGGAGGAATTAACCCTTGATTATATCCGTAGCTGAGATCCAAAATATCTAGATATTCATGCTGAGTGTTACACACAGGTCCATTCCGTCTGAGTTTTAGACCTACACTATATTGCCAAAAGTAGGGTTCAATTCATTCCAATGGTGTTCTATCGGGTCGAGGTCAGGACTGTGCAGGCCAGTCAAGTTCCTCCACCCCAAACTCGCTCATCCATGTCTTTATGGACCTTGCTTTGTGCACTGGTGGGCAGTCATGTTGGAACAGGAAGGGGCCATCCCTAAACTGTTCCCACAAAGTTGGGAGCATGAAATTGTCCAAAATGTCTTTGTATGCTGATGCCTTAGGAGTTCACTTCACCGGAACTAAAGGGCCAAGTCCAACCCCTGCAAAACAACCCCAAACTATAATCCCCCCTCCACCAAACTTTACACTTGGCACAATGCAGTCAGGCAAGTACCGTTCTCCTGGCAACCGCCAAACCCAGACACGTCCATCGGATGGCCAGACAGAGAAGTGTGATTCGTCACTCCAGAGAACACGTCTTTACTTCTCTAGAGTCCAGTGGCCTCGTGCTTTTACACCACTGCATCCGGCCATGGGAACCCATTCCATGAAGCTCTCTACACACTGTTGTTCCAATCTGAAGGCCACACGAAGTTTGGAGATCTGTAGATATTGACACTGCAGACAGTTGGTGACTTCTGCGCACTGTATACTTCAGCATGCGCTGACCCCCTCTGTCATTTTACGTGGCCTACCACTTTGTGGCTGAGTTTCTGTTGTTCCCAGTTGCTTCCGCTTTGTTATAATACCACTAACCGTTGACCGTGGAATATTTAGTAGCAAGGAAATTTCACGGATGGACTTATTGCACAGGTGGCAACCTATCACTGTGCCACGCTTGAATTCACTGAGCTCCTGACAGCGACCCATTCTTTCACAAATGTTTGTAGAAGCGTCTGCATGCCTAGGTGCTTGATTTTACACACCTGTGGCCATGGAGGTGATTGGAACACCTGAATCCAATGATTTGGAGGGGTGTCCCAATACTTTTGTACATATATGTACTGCTTGCTCATAGGCATGATGGATGAGGATGTTTTTTTCTGTTTGCCATTGTTCACCTCCTGAAGGCAGGCAACCCACACATCTATGATTTACTTTATCTCTGTGCCCCTCAATGGACTCCAAGAAAAATATTTTACATGAAGTACAAAAATCTTATTTTTATTATGATGCCATTATAATGCCCATTATATTAATACATTTTTTTCGCACAACCCAAGTGTTTCACTTTTAAATTTGAGAGGGAAAAAAAAAATTAACCTTGCAGTGGGGCTCCTCTCTTCATTGCTCTGGGTTGTGTGTGGATCGTGGGTGTTCTCATTTGCACTCCAGGAGGGCTGGACCTGCATTGTATATGTTGACATCAGATTGCCTGGAAGGGTAGATTTTTGTTTTCTTTGAGTTCAGCTTTAAGTGTCCTTGTGCATTGTTGTTCAGTCTCTTTGTCAAGATTTTTATAATTTATGTTGTCTTACTATATTATTAGGATCAGCACAACAATGTGGCAGGTGCCAATTTAACTGGTAAAGTCATTGCCAAGATATTGTGTTCTGAAGAGGCTGAGAAAGAGACACCACTGTTTGAATCCAATACTGACACCATAGATTTTCCATTTAATAATGGATCTGCTGACATTCTTGTAAGTATACTATTCTTTTGTACGTCAATTTGCAGTAAGCTGTATGCTGCCATGTGGTGGGATATACTGTACTTGCAGAAATACAAAACATAATATACTTTTTGGCTATAAATGTGTTTTATAATTAAATAAAACCAGGAAACGTAATAAAAAAACAGCTGCATTGCATACATTCAGGCTGGAGTCACACATGGAGTCACACATGGAGTCAGTGTGGCGTGTAATACACATGCACAGGTGTGAATGAACCCATAAGGTTAAACTGCAGCACATAGATGTGAACCAGCAACAGAAAAAGAATGGGATTTTTACCTGAAATGCATGCTCACGCATCAAAATGCATGATTTTGCTGCATAAAAATGTACAGGTTTGAATAGGCACTTACAGAAAGAAACCATGTTTTGAAAAAACATTAACATTTCAAATGTCTCTAAGTAACTTTTTGGATCCTTTATTATGTATACATAAATAAAACCATTTTAATGTTACTGATATATGCGCTTATCCTACACATGCAGGTGACAATTTATTATTACGTACACAGTCTTTATTTTTGTATTTTTTTCTCATTATTAACTATAAACCTAAGTTCTTTCTAATTTCTTATTTTCTAATATCCATTTTCAGTGGCTTGTTCTTGCTGAAAACAGCCCTGGGAGAGACAGCACTGAATATCAAGTTCAGTTCTCTCTCGACTTACATCCAGTAGCACCAGTACCAGAGGACATTTCACCGTTTTATCTTCCTTTTATGTTTTACAATGGTAATGTGAAATTTGCAGGATTTCTACTTTTTTTCAGAATTATTTGTAATTGTAAGTGTGGATCTTCAACATGTTGTGAAATAATTCTTAATACGTTTATTATGAAATGTACACTAGATAGAGATTACAGTGAGGTTTGTCACAAATTCCTAGTACCAAGTGATGTTTAATAGGTGTACTTTTTAATGATTCTTAAACAACATTAGAAATTAGATTTTTAACAGTGGCTTTACAAATAGATCTCCCAGCATATGCAATGCACTCTGTCATTTAAAGCACATAGACCTGGAAGATTTTTTAAAATATTTTTTACCTTATGCTATGTGAACGGGAACATGTAACAAATATAAAATAGGTGTTATCCCAATTTGGCTGTAAATGTGGAAATACACTTTAAGGTTAAATAACATACACAGGTAAAATAATAAATGTATGCCAGTGAATTCATATTGTTGCTCTGAAAGTATAAGCTTTTTTGACTGAAAGTTTGTGTTTTTTTTCCTGAATTGTATCAGGATTGTTATGTGGGAAGTTAAGGTCATGAGGACAGATCTTAGCGTTTCTTAATATAAAATAAAATTATGAATTATTATTCTTAAATAATATTAAATTATTTAGATTTGGATCAAATATTAGGCTCTGGGTAAGTCTCTGTAATTTTTGTCTACATGGTACTTTCCAGAGGAGACCGATACTGAGGAAAGCCTTGCAACGCACACTGCCCGGTCAGCATTGCAGTCATCGGAAGCCCGCCCCTCAGGGAGGCGGGCTTGCAATGATCGGAAGTACGATCTGCCTGTCCAAGATGGGCAGATCGTACGTTTTTCTAATTACCTTACAACCATCGCAAGACAAAAGTCTTGCAATGGATGTAAGGTCTATCGCTAGCTTAAAGGTGCCCATACACTGTACGATTCTCGTACGAGAATCGCGTGAAATCCCGCGATCGTACGAGAATCGCAAAGTGTATGGAAGGCGTGCGACCGTTTCTACTGTACGGTCGCACGTCTTCCATCGAACAAGCAGGCTGGAAAACCCGCTGGGAATCGTACGATTCTCGGCGAGTGAGTGGCCTGCTTGTTCGACAACTGACGAACGGGCCGGTGTGCGCACGGGCACAATCCCCGTTTGCCGTCCTTGCAAGCCCGCCCCTCATTGCAGTCATCGCAAGTACGATCTGCCTGTCCAAGATGGGCAGATCGTACGGTTTTTTTAAGTACTTTACAACCCTTGCAAGACAAAAGTCTTGCGAGGGTTGTAAAGTGTATGGGCACCTTAAGGCTAAAAGTCACTGTACCGCAGTGCTCAGCATTCATGTTATAGTCTGACTGTACAATTATGTACAGTCTCCTTTAGACTTCTCAAAACTGTGTAGGATGAAGACCTACCTAACCTATCCAATCAACTTGTGTCCAGTCAATCAGGCCCTTACATTATTTAGTTGTCGGTACATCTAAAGGGGATTGTACAGTCAGATTGTAATCTGTGCGGTGAGCTTATGTTTTCACTCATTCTGATGTTAGCTAATTGTGTCCAGGTGTTTCTAATTATTGATTTACAGTTATGATTGCTAAAGCAATGCCACCACACCCCTGTGATACCATAATGGTACCATTATAAAGCTTTCGGCAGATTTATACAAAGGTAATTTATAGACATTTCAGTAACAGTCTTATTTTTGTCCAGATTTCAAAAAACAACAGGAGATGGCACAGCTTACTAAGGAAAAGGACCAGCTGACAGAGTCTGTAAAGGCTTATAGATGCCTGTTTGATGCAACAAATATACTTATCAGGGAAATCAAGAGTAAGTTTAGCCCACCATTTTGGAACTTGTATAATATTATTACATTTATAACTAAAGGCAAAAACTTTTTTTTTTTCTTTGTTAGATTTGGATAGAGTGGTGATGGTTTAAAGCCACTATCAGGTTCAAGATTTTTCTTTCTTTTAGTCAGCCAGTCAGCACTGGTAGATTAATTCCAGATACAGTAGGTTCACCTTGTGAACCTATCGGGTATATTTCTTACATGGTTGTTTTTCTTGTTGCTATCACCTTTACGAGGCATGTGTGCACAAGTTAGCTGCCTTGTCTTGTAAAGAACCATTCCTATTCTTACACAAGGACAAGGTTGTCCTGGTGCCCAGAACCTCCTTTCTTCCTAAGGTAGTTTCTGCTCTTCACCTCAGCCAGGACATTATGTTTCAGTCCCTCTGACCAACCCCTGTACATCCATAGCAGATTTCTCTTCACTGCTTGGATGTGGTTAGTGCTATGTGTGCTTGTCTTGCAACCACTGCTTCCATAAGAAAGACTAATTCTCTTTTTTGTCCATTTAAAGGGGAACCAGCTTCTCATTTCTCGGCGGCTCAGACAGATCATCATTTAAGCCTTTTGGCTTTTAAGATGATGATCTGGCCTTATGCAGAACTTTCTTCTAATAGAGAGTGTTTGACTTGTGCAGATACTTTGAAAAAGACTGTTCATACTATGTCTGTTTCTAATACTGCATTTCTTGCCTTATCTTTTCTTGCAAAGCCTGACTTTTCTGCTAATATGAGGAAAAAATGATTGTCTTGTTTAGAGAGACTTATGGTCCCTGTACACAAGATTCAAAAAAAAGTTGCATTTCTCCTTTGCCAGTAGATCAAATGTCTAATATTTCTGGAACTGTTGTTGCCGTTCCAGAAGATTCTGTTTCTGATAGTAAAATGGTTTCTTCTGACAAGGACGTGGCTGCTCAGGTGGATTTTTCAATCCTCTGCGACGTATCAACATCAGAAAAAAATGGTTGCCTTTTTAATTGAGGCTGTGAGTTCCTCTTTAAAACTTGAAGACTCCACTGTTTCTACTTCTGCTGTTTCTAGTCTAGGATCACATAAACCTGAGCATGACTCTAAGGTTTCCTCTCTACATCCTATTTTATACTATCCTATAGATTTTTATATAATAAATTAGCAAATTGTGATTCCTAGACGCTTGAAGTTCCTGTATCTTTTTCCGGAAGATCTTTTTTTTTAAATTGGCTATTCTTCCTGAAGTCTTGCATTTTTTCCGATCACTGCACCGGAATGGAGGGCTTTCCTGTACCTTGCGTTCCATTGTGGGCAAGGTGCATGTCTGCAGTGACATGAATGGCACGGCCAAACCCACTCCTGCCCCAGAACGCGGCCCGTCTTGATCTATGCGATCAAGTGCGTTCCAGGCTCGAACCATGCCAGAAAGCACTAGAAATGGTGCAACAGGGCCCAAAGTGCTGGTCGGAAGAACCCCAATGCAAAAAGGGACTTTTGTGTTTACCCTACGTGTAGGGTTGACTTTTTAAAACTTGAGTTAGATTATTAAAAAAGCTACAGGAGGTAAAAGTGAACACTTACCTCAGATGTGGAAAAATAGGGATCAACGTTGTAAGCCTGCTCCTACTTTTCCATCTTTTATACATTTCTTGTGTTCCCTATTTCAAAAGACATCTTACACTTCCAAACCTTTGGACCCTCTAGATGTCCTTAGCAATTAAAAAGTCTGCTTTAGCATGATGGTCTGCTCCCACCTTTTCTATATCTGGTGGGGGACACCTGATGGAATTTGCAGATACGTTGGAATCTCAATATATTTTCTTTTTCCTTCTCCTCGATTCTTTGCGTTCCACCTTCCCATGTCTCAGCAGCATCACACAAATCTTTTTTGTGTAGTTCAAGGTCTGTTGAATCCGGCTGTTGTTATTCCTGCTCCTTTTGGCAGAACGTTATTATTCCTGTTTTTTTGGCAGAACATTTTCAATGTTTTTACTCAAACCTGTTTACAGTTCCCAAACCCAACAGAAGACTTTGTCCGATTCTGAATCAAAAGCATGTTTATACATAAACCATTTTTGATGGAGTCCATTTGACCAGTTTTCACTGCTCTTCAACAAGGAGATTTTTTGTTTTTTAGGATATAAAGGATGTGTATCTACACATTCCTGTATTTTTAGCTTATCAGCGTTTTCGTTTGTTTTGCTGTAGACGACCTTCATTATCCATGTGTGGCTCTTCCTTTCGGTCTAGCTTCAACTGCTTGGGTTTTTACAAAAATAATTGCTCCAGTTCAGGGACTTTTTCGTCACAAGGGCATTCCGATTATCAGATACTTTGATTACTTTTTACTTCTAGAACAGTCTCTTCTGACTCTGAAGCCCAATGCGTCGATAGTGCTACCGACCTTAGAGAACTTTGGGTGGATTCTGAACCTTGAAAAATCATCTCTGATTCTGTCGCATTGCTTGGAGTACTTGGGTTTTCTGTTGGATACCTTTCAAGCAAAGGTGTTTTTTCCTCAGAACAAAGTAATGATGTTGCAGGATCAAATTCGGTTGCTTCGGTCCCATCGCCAATGCTCTCGGAAAACCTGCATGCGAGTTTTAATCTGATGGTATCCACCTTCTAAGTGATTCCATTTGCTCAGTCCCTTTACAGGCATTTACAGAGGAACATTCTTACAGCGTAATACAAGTCTCCTTGCTGGACAAGATGATCAGATTGAATGCCCTGGCCAGGATGTCTCTGCCATGGTGGTTGACATCCTCTGAGTTGCTACAGGAGAATAGTTTCTTCCCATATCTTCGAAGATTGTCAACGGACGCCAGTCTTGTGGGATTTAGCGGTCTTGGATCATCTGCCTGTGCAGGGTTGTTGGTCTCCAGAAGAATCCAAGCTTCCGATAACTGTTCTAGAGTTGAGGGCGATTGTTTAGGGTTGATTATATGGACTCCTTTTTGACTGGTTAACCAGTTAGGATGTATGTTCCAGCGATATCAGCGGTCCATATTCCGCAAGTAGACTGGCAGGTAGACTTTCTCTGCAGACAACGTCTGGATCCAGGAGTGTGCCCTTTTCATCCAGAGATGTTTCAACAACTTTGTCAGCGCTGGGGAATGCCAGGTGTGGCTGTCCTGGCTTCTCATCACAGCATGAATTCAGGGATCCAACAGCGGATGCGGTAAATGCTTTGGTAGCTCCGTGGGATCACTACATTTCCTTTAATCTGCGGTAGAGCAAAGTTCAGCTCTCAGTACCATTAAAGGTCAGATGTCTGCATTGTCTGTCCTTTTTCAATGTCTTCTGGCTTCGAATTCCATTATTTGTACTTTTGTTCAAGGTGTTACGTGTGTGGCTCCTCCTGTTAGGTCTCTTACTCCATGGGACTTAAAGGAGAACTATGAGGTGAGTAATTTACACTCACACATACCATCGCTCGCTCACTTCCCGATCATCTCCCTCCAGAGAGCACTGTCAGTCACCACTCCCTTCAGGGATTCCCCGCTCCCCACTTCGATCCTTCAGCGCTGACTGGAGGAACGGACGAAGTAGCGGGCGGGCACAGCTAGCTCTGCCTCTAGATAGGCTGCGGCACTCAGTATATAGTGAGCTATTTACTGAGCTTAGCTTCACGGGAGAAGGTTAGTATATGTCCTCTCGCCAGAAGAATTTGGCCAAGATATTTATATGACATTGCTTTTGTCCCATACTTGTTATGTATAAGTGGCAAAAAGGTTATTAAATATGTGTTTTTTTAAATAATGTACTAATAAAATGAGTTGGTTTTTTTTGTTTTTTTTTTAACAAAAGAACATGAAATGTACTAATTGCGGCATGTAAAAAGCCCCAGGATCTTTCTAGTTTTTACTGTCTGAAAAAAAAAATTGATTATATTATAGCAGTAATATGTATTATTTATGTTCGTAGTAGGGCTGCAGCTAACGATTATTTTCATAATCTATTAGTTAGCCGATTATTAAGTTCGATTAATCGGATAAAAAAAAAAAAAAAAAAACCACAAGTGACACATATAGCTGGCGTTACTGGAGAGGACGGGTTTGATGCAGGAATAGAGAGGATGGGTATGATGCAGGAATAGAGAGGACGGGTATGATGCAGGAATAGGGAGGACGGGTATGATACAGGAATAGAGAGGATGGGTATGATGCAGGAATAGAGAGGAGGGGTATGATGCAGGAATGGGGTGCAGGGGATGTGCATGATGGTGGAATGGGGTGCAGAGGACAGGTATGATGATGGAATGGAGTGCAGGGATGGAGAGGATGGGTATGATGGTGGAATGGGGTGCAGAGGACGGGTATGATGATGGAATGGAGTGCAGGGATGGAGAGGATGGGTATGATGGTGGAATGGGGTGCAGAGGACGGGTATGATGATGGAATGGAGTGCAGGGATGGAGAGGATGGGTATGATGGTGGAATGGGGTGCAGAGGACGGGTATGATGATGGAATGGAGTGCAGGGATGGAGAGGATGGGTATGATGGTGGAATGGGGTGCAGAGGACGGGTATGATGATGGAATGGAGTGCAGGGATGGAGAGGATGGGTATGATGGTGGAATGGGGTGCAGAGGACGGGTATGATGATGGAATGGAGTGCAGGGATGGAGAGGATGGGTATGATGGTGGAATGGGGTGCAGAGGACGGGTATGATGATGGAATGGAGTGCAGGGATGGAGAGGATGGGTATGATGGTGGAATGGGGTGCAGAGGACGGGTATGATGATGGAATGGAGTGCAGGGATGGAGAGGATGGGTATGATGGTGGAATGGGGTGCAGAGGACGGGTATGATGATGGAATGGAGTGCAGGGATGGAGAGGATGGGTATGATGGTGGAATGGGGTGCAGAGGACGGGTATGATGATGGAATGGAGTGCAGGGATGGAGAGGATGGGTATGATGGTGGAATGGGGTGCAGAGGACGGGTATGATGATGGAATGGAGTGCAGGGATGGAGAGGATGGGTATGATGGTGGAATGGGGTGCAGAGGACGGGTATGATGATGGAATGGAGTGCAGGGATGGAGAGGATGGGTATGATGGTGGAATGGGGTGCAGAGGACGGGTATGATGATGGAATGGAGTGCAGGGATGGAGAGGATGGGTATGATGGTGGAATGGGGTGCAGAGGACGGGTATGATGATGGAATGGAGTGCAGGGATGGAGAGGATGGGTATGATGGTGGAATGGGGTGCAGAGGACGGGTATGATGATGGAATGGAGTGCAGGGATGGAGAGGATGGGTATGATGGTGGAATGGGGTGCAGAGGACGGGTATGATGATGGAATGGAGTGCAGGGATGGAGAGGATGGGTATGATGGTGGAATGGGGTGCAGAGGACGGGTATGATGATGGAATGGAGTGCAGGGATGGAGAGGATGGGTATGATGGTGGAATGGGGTGCAGAGGACGGGTATGATGATGGAATGGAGTGCAGGGATGGAGAGGATGGGTATGATGGTGGAATGGGGTGCAGAGGACGGGTATGATGATGGAATGGAGTGCAGGGATGGAGAGGATGGGTATGATGGTGGAATGGGGTGCAGAGGACGGGTATGATGATGGAATGGAGTGCAGGGATGGAGAGGATGGGTATGATGGTGGGATGGGGTGCAGAGGATGGGTATGATGGTGGAATTGGGTGCAGAGGACGGGTATGATGGCGGAATGGAGTGCAATGATGGAGGGGATGGGTATGATGGTGGGATGGGGTGCAGAGGACGGGTATGATGGTGGAATGGGGTGCAGGGATAGAGAGGATGGGTGGGATGGGGTGCAGAGGACGGGTATGATGGGGTGCAGGGATGGAGAGGATGGGTATGATGGTGGGATGGGGTGCAGAGAACAGGTATAATGATGTAATGGAGTGCAGAGGACTGGTATGATGGTGGAATAGGCTGCAGAGGATGGGTATGATGGTGGGATGGAGAGGATGGGTGGGATGGGGTGCAGAGGATGGGTATAATGATGGAATGGAGTACAGAGGACGGGTATGATGGTGGAATAGGGTGCAGAGGATGGGTATGATGATGATGGTGGGTTGGGGTGCACAGTGTTGGGTCCCAGGCTCCGGGGAGGGGGGTCGGGGCACTTACTGTCTGTACATTCCCTCCATGTCTTCTGCTGAACGGTTCAGCCTGGATGCCAGCTCGTCCCCAGCCATAGTCTCCGTCCCCCGGCTGACACCCGTCATGTGATCGGCCCGGCTAGATGTGAGGAGCGCCGGGATTGGAGTTGAGCTGGGCGGCGTGATTGGTAACGTTTTCGATCGTCGATTTTAATCGACTAAATCGAATCGTTGTTGCAGCTCTAGTTCTGAGTTTAGAGTAACTTTAACCGTAACCATTTAGTGGTATAGTTACACACTTGTTTGGGATATATTTGATTGTGGAAAAATGCATACACATTACTTTTTTGCTTTTTGATTAGGTCAGGCAACTGAAGCCAAAGAGAAAGAAGTTTTCTTAAAAAATGAGCTGCAGAAAAAAAAGATTGACTTAACAATAATAAAGCAGGTACTACATTTATTTTAACATCTATTTTGCTGCAATAAATTATAATATATTTTATATTATCAGCAGTGCATACAGACATTGTTTTACTTTTTAGATGGACCACATCTTCAAACTTATAAACCAGAAGAAAACACAAATGCAAGATTTGCAGAATCAGCCAAGGAGAAAATGTTTCCTTTCCCCTGTTCCAAAAGGCAGTGATATTATCGGAAAGGTCAGTATGGTGACGGAAAATTGTTAGTAGGGGGTCAGTCTGTGCCAGTTCATTTCTACTAGTCGAAATAAGAGTTTCAATATATCCTGTTTTTTTTAGAAATTAGAAAAAAATGAAAACCTTAAACTGCAACTTTATTTATTCATCTAAGTAAAGGGCCCCTTTTACACATGAACACACGCACAATTGTGCGATTTTGCCCACATTAATAAAAAGCGTATCACAGTTACAGTGCCATTATTGATGTTGGCACTCCTGTAGCAAACAACTGAATGAGCTTCTTTGCAGGTTAGTTGTGTGTAGGGCAGCCCATGGAAGTAAATGGGCTGCCCTTTGCAGATGCGCAACAAACACGCAAGAATGCTAGTGTGAGTGACAATGACGTGGAGCCAAACCTGGAGCAAGTGCACTGGGATCGGCTGAATGGAACTGGAGGTGATCAGTAGCACTGGGATGTAATCAAGGATGAAAAAAAGGTTAAAAAAGTAATTAATGGGAAAAATAAAACGCATCAATTGTTTCATACACAGTGTCAGTTTTATGCTTGAATTTTTTTATTTTTTTTTCTAGATTGCCCACTTAGCATATGTAGAAGATGATGAAGCAGCAAAAGTAATCTCATGGCATTTAGCTAGTGATATGGATTGTGTGGTTACACAAACCACAGATGCAGCTCGTCGTATCTACAATGAGACAAAGGGCCACCAACAGGTTCTTCCAATGGACTCAATATATCAGAAGAATCTGCCAGTCTGGGGAAGGTATCTTAACTTTTCTATAATCTTTAGGGCTATTAACTAGCATGCAATACAGTTGCCAATATGGCAGTGGTGGCACTGCAGCAGCCACAATAGGGATGTAAAATGTAGTTGTCAACAAACTGATATGCTGAGGTTATTAATATGATATGCTAAAATGGTTGGTACCACATACTCTGTTAAGTTATGGTATAAAGTGTTAAAATCACTAAAGTAAGATTTTTATCTACTTTGAATCAGAATACAAAGTATTATTTATCTGCACAACTTTACAGGCAAACTATTGTGTTTCGGTGTTAATGCAGCAGCTACATGGTTGCTGTTTTTTTCAGCTTCAACAGTGTCAACAAGAAAACTTTTTATAATGGCCAAATGCAGATACTTTTTCAAGCAGACTGAGCGTACATATCAAACTGTGACATCTATTCATTATTTTAAAGATATGAAGGAATCGAAAGAAGGGAAGAAAAAAGTGGGGAAGAAAAGAGGGATGGAAGGATCCCACAACTAAAATAGCTAAGCATCAAAAGATATACTTAAAGTAGAACTGTGGGCATTCAAACATTTACATTTTCTTAACAACCCTCGCTGATCTCTGTAGCTGCAACACTGGAGCAAATTCACAGTACTACAATCGTTTTGTGTAGCACCCCGACGTACCTCTGCAGCTATTACAGTGCACCACAATGTACTATGTGCATTGCCATGTGGTACAATCTGCATAAAATGCCACAGTACCTATTTTCTAGTGTGCTGAGATGCATTACAGCCTATTCATTTTGAATGGGCTGCCTAGCGCAACAGGCCTCAATGCACAAAAATTTGTTTTTGGGTTTTAGTGATAAGTGGCACCCTTAAAAACACCTTCACTTTCATTAGTAGTTCGTTTTAGCCTCCTCCTGCTGACAGTCAAATATCAAGAAGTCACCCGCACTCCATACAGCATATAGACCTTAACAGAAAATTGGTGCTTGAAGTGACGACACAGATGGCGCCGTGTCAGAAACAGTCCATAACAGAAGTCACGAGCACTCGAGGATACATGCAAGAAGTATAAGCACTTGTTTATTGACCTGTCACATGCATCATACAGCCGACGTTTCGGGGCCACACAGGGTCCCTTCTTCTGGGCATCATAGTGACATAGTGAAGGGACCCTGCGTGGCCCCGAAACGTCGGCTGTATGACGCATGTGACGAGTCACTAAACAAGTGCTTATAATACTTGCACGTATCATCGAATACTGGTGACTTCTGTTATGGACTATCTCCTGCTGAAAGTGACTTGGGAGCCTGTCAGCTGAGGGGGGATAGCAGAGTGCCCAGACTTGACGTGAATTACTTGAATGCTTCTTTAGCGACATTTGAGTGGGAATTGCTCCACGGTGCTTTCAGCTTCACATGCCAGATAGTTTTAAAGCTTATTTACTGCTTGTAAAGAATATGTAAATACTTAGAGCAACTTTACCCACCAATGTAATGTCTCTCAAAACAGTTCCTTTAAGGCACACCAACTGTCAAGGGTGCCAGTCTGCTAATTTCAGCTCAAAGCTGATCACATGTGCAGCACCATAGCATCTGCAATCCAGATAGAAGCTAAGATGGCTCCTTCCTTGGCTGTAAGGGATAGAAAGTTATAGTTCCACTTTAAAAGTCCATAGCCTGGCCTAAGATCCACATTAAGGAAATAAGCACAAGAGGGACGCCTTTCCTGGTGCAGATCAATTTTATTTCAGTAGATATAAGTGAAAAACCGAATAGTGCTCACAAACATAAGAATCACACAGCCATGGGATAAGAGCTGACAGGCAGTAAGATGTCCACTAGGCGATACCAATGTGTAGTGACGTTAACGCGTTTCCTGGGCACGCCCCCTTCATCACTAGGCGATACATTGGTATCGCCTAGTGGATATCTTACTGCCTGTCAGCTCTTATCCCATGGCTGTGTGATTCTTATGTTTGTGAGAACTATTCGGTTTTTCACTTATATCTACTGAAATAAAATTGATCTGCACCAGGAAAGGCGCCCCTCTTGTGCTTATTTCCTAGATTCTCAGCTTTCCCGGCTTCTTTGGGGCAGCGTCCTGCAGTATGCCTAAGAGGATTTCCCACTAAGGATTGACAGTCCGTGGTGCTTCATTGCTTTTACTTAGTTAAGATCCACATTAAGTCTTATTGTTTGCAGCAAACAGTCAATATCTGGTAGAGATTATAGCATTTCCAGTAAAAAATGTCAAGGTCAACACCTATGAAGCATGTTACAATTTTTCTCTTTCTCCCTGTTGCCTTTTATCCTGATTTGAGCTTGCTGCAGTGCCATTGCAGAACATGCATTTATTGTGTTACACACTGCAATTCAGAAAAAAATCTAATGCATGATGTTGTTGTGATTCGGTCTTAAGGCCTTTACCACACATGGTTAATGGAAAAAACCACTTTAATGCAACAGGAAATCCGGTGTTCGCTAGAGATCTCTTGGTATTCTCCGACAACAAAGAAGAGTGTCAGAAAGGTAATGTAAAAAAATGTTCTGTTCTGTAATGGTATTGAAAAAAAAATTTCATTACTAATCACGAGGGATTGTGAGTTCTGTACTCATAGTAAAGCTTGTACATGCTTCTTTCTGCAGTCATATCTCTTAAATGTGTTGTACTGTTTGCAATGTGCATATTATGATGTGATAGACCAGGACATCTGCTATTTCTTAGGATAGGGATCATTCCTACAGTACATTCAAGTCCAACTAAGTGCAGTGAAATACCCATTTAGGCTGAAAGAAAGATTGTAAATGTTAAGTCTTTTAACGTAGTTAGATTTGTAACTGAACATTGAATTCATTAAGGGGGCATTACATATAGCTGATATTGGAAATCATTTGCTTCAGTCACCTGGGATTTTTTTAAGCCATGGAATGTTAAATGGCACAAAAAGATTGACACAGTACAAACATTCTTAATTGCAATTAACTGTATGGAAAAACTTACAAATAAAACCCCGCCCTTTGAATAAAGTCACTTCTGCCACATCTTAAGCTGACATTGAACTCAGGAGTGAAATCCTAAAAATGCATTTAAGTACCTTAACTCTTAACAACAATGTATCTTATTTGTGTATCACTTGGGCTGCAGATCCTCAAATCATCTCTAAATTCATGCTGACACTGTCCTTCCTTTTGGAGGGTGGCTACTTTTGTTCCCCATGGTCCCTGTGTGTGTGTGTTGTATAGTAGTCACCGCTCCAAGCCCATTCCTGTGATGGACTACAATCTCACTTTTAGTTTGCTCATTTGTACTGAGATTGTAGTCCATTGCGGGAGCGAGCTTGCAGCGGTGGCTACATTACAACACACACAGGACCATGGGGAACAAAAGTAGCCACCTTCCAGAAAGAAGGACAGCATTAGCACCAATTCAGAGATGATTTGAGGATCTGTAGCCGAGTAATTCACAAATTAGGTACTTGAATGCAATTTTAAGATTTAACTCCTGAGTTTAGTGTCCCTTAAATAGTTTTTTCTCCAAACATTCTAAGCTAAGGTCTTGTGATAAAATTGTGACATACTAATTTAAGTCTTCCTTCTTTCTACAGCAGATATGTATTTAACGGGTATGATTAAAAATGTGATGTGACCATTCAGAGATCATTCATCTGTTTGCTTGGGCATTGAACATTGCTTTTTGTACACTACTGCTTTTTTGTGATCAATTAATAGCCTGTAGCTTTCCTAGTTTGACAATCTATGGAAATGCTGTAGTGGGATTATCTTTATTACAACATAAACAGCTTCTTTGAAGTGGAAAGGTGACATTAGAGGTCTAATAGACCCCTAACGTCACCTTAAAGAGAACCTGTCACTACTAATATGCTATCACATAGGCAGGGGTTAGGAACCTTTTTTCTGCCAAGGGCCATTTGTATATTTATAACATCATTCGCAGGCCATACAAAATTATCAACTTAAAAATTAGCCTGCTATATTTGGTCAAATATTTAATTAACTCGCCCGTAATGTGATGGGTGGAACTGCTTCTCTTTGGTGATTTGTAGCTAAGCCCATAGTGGTAAATGATGAGGGATTGATGCTGGTGATCTTGTCACCGACAGTGCTGCTAAAAGTCAATCACTGAGCTACAAATTGCTGAAGTATTAGTGATTCCATGGAAAATAACTGGAATTAGTGAGAAATCTTTTTGAAAAAGTAGGGATGACTGAGAACAAATCGCTTGTCTGACATCAACCTAACAGCTGATGCCAATAATAAAGCAGAAGCCAAATTGACAGCAAACCAGTATAGTGGATCCATGGAGTATGTCTATTACCATACATTTGCAGCAATTTTATCTGCAGAAGAGCCAAAGGCACAGTAAGCCTCATGCCCCTTTGCAGACTGCCCTGTATGATGATGGGACTTCTATACAATGTGTCACTGACCTCATCAGAGCAGCGCCAGAGGGGGAGGCAACAATATAATAATAACAATAATGATCCGCCACTGGGGGAGATGAGGGGCGGGCCAGGCTGAATGTGTCGGACGCTGCAGGTGTGAAGGGGCAGATTACCACCTGGGATGGACGTTCCACACCACTGACATAGGGGGCTTGTAGCCCCCCCCCCCCTTGTGTTAGTAATGAAGTAAAAAAAATAAAAAATACAAAAACATTTTTGCCCCTGCAATAACATGCATACTAACATAAACGCGCATCGAGTGTGTGCATATGAAAACCACGGTTATGTTACACGTTGGGTATCCCTGCATGGGCCAGAGAGAGCAATATTTCTAGGGCCAATATTCATGGATAACTTTAAACTGATGACCTGTACAGGCTTTGAAATCTTCACCTATGGATAATTTGGGGTACGGTGTTTTGTCGCCGTTTCACGGACATACACAATTTGTAAGCTTAGCATGGTGGTTATCGATTTACTTGGCAAATCCTCGTTCTTTGTATTTTTTTTATTAAAATGGGTATTATATTGTTTATGTGCAATAAAAAATGTTCAGTATTTTTTACTGAAATTTTGGGTTTGATAAAGAGTTGCGCTAATATCATGTGATATAAAAATTTGCAACTGCCACCATTTTATTCTACAGGGTCTGTGCTTTCAGGAAATATCTAACTCTCGGGGGTTTAAAGTAATTTGTAGGCCTAAAATGTTGATTTATATCGTGCGAAAAAACACTCTGGCAGTGAAAGGGTTAAGGATAGCAAAACATTTAAATGATTTAGGTCAAATCGCGTTGTTCACCTGAAAGTGAGACTTTTTTTTTTTTTTTTTTTTCTAGTTTTTGGGATGCTTTTAGGAGATGCAATACTATTGGATAATCTAGAAGCTGCAAATGAATACAGAAAACAAGTAAGTGCCTTAACCTCCCTGGCGGTCTGTTTATTTAATTTTTTCCCCCTTTTTTGTAATTCTTTTTTTTTCCTTTTGAAATTCCCGCCGGTTCCGCCCCTTGCGACGCGGACGCTCGCACGGGACGGAAGACGGATGCCGGCATCGGCCGGAGGACACAGCGCGGCTCGAGGGACAAGGTAAGTAATGCTACGCTGTAATCCCAAGTGTGGCTCCGGGTTACCGGTTATGGTACTGAAAATTAACCCCGAGCCACACTCGGGATTACCGCCAAGGAGGTTAATCTTTTGCAGGTTTAAAATTTTAAAGTTTCCATATATGAAGATATGCCAGGAGATTTTTAACAAGGTGACAGGGGTTTCAGACCAGTCAGGGTCAAACCGAAAGGGAATGTACAGTATGTTTTTAAACCTATTCTTTTTGATGATTACATATAATAGACTGGTTAAAAGTCTAACAGGTAAACTTTCTTTGTTAATCATACAGTCAAGAAGGACGCAGGATCAGTCTTAATGGTAGGTTATACTGCCACCTTGAGGTAACTTGGACACTGGCGAAAGCAAAGCTGCAAGAGCAGACCTAGTACCACGCCTCCCACTTTCAGAAAGCCTTTTTTTTTGCTGGTGTCTTTTCAGTGATGAAACTTTCTCTCTACCTAAAGAAGCTTACCTCCTTTTATGAATTTTTTTTACTCAAGATTCTTCTAGCAAGTTTTAGGTGCTCTGTAGCTACTGTGGCTCTTTTCTGCAGCTTTCCAGATCAGTTGACTTCTCGGCTAAGCTTTGGAGGATCACATCCAGACCCCGCCTAAAAGAGGATGCAGGGCTGGCCTGTAATGTTGCTTCAGGCACTGAATCCTGAATTGGACGCTCACCTTACATAGTTACATAGTATTTGTGGTTGAATAAAGACACAGGTCCATCAAGTTCAACCTATTGCGTGTATGTATGTGATTCTGCATGTGTATGCGTATGTACGAGCTCCTGTAGGGTACCTTTAAGGGTACCTGTACCCCTGTATGTTGTGGTTTCTGAGGAAGTTGTCCAAATGCTTTTTGAATGATTCAATACTCTCAGCTGATACCACTGCTTGTGGCAGCGAGTTCCAGACCCTAACCACCCTAACTGAGAAGAAGCCCCTACGCCCCTTGTGGTTAAATCTTTTCTCCACCAGTTTTAGGTGGTGGCCTCTAGTCTTTGTTACGGAGTTTACAGCAAAAGGTTTATTGCTGATGTTGCAATCACCATTGAACATTGTGTACATCAAAATCATATCCTCCCTTTATCTCCTCACTTCCAGTGTGAACATGTTTAAATTTAGTAACCTTGTCTTAGTAACGCACTGGACTTACCTGAGACCCCGCAGAGCTCACCTGAGAGTGACCCTGCAGAGCACACCATAGATCCCGCACAACCCATCTGAGACTCTATTGTGGGTTCTGCAGGGCCTCAGGTGGGCTGGTCGCTGGGGTCCCTTTCCCTGTACCTCCTCCCAACTCGTCTTACCTGCTGCTGCTGCTGGGGCCTGGCCTCCTCCACCCCCTCCCCCTCCCCGTCACCTCTGCCATGCCGCCCCTGGTGCAGCTGATACTCATGTAAGAGGCTGCCCAGACCCCTCACATGGGTACCGGCCGTACCCCCCCTGATGGGCGGTGTTCTATCAAAGTTTGTGACTACGTTACAATGTGTGACCGGTGATGTGGTCACACATTTCAATGTAATCCCGGCCATTTTTTTGGCGGTGGAATGTGTGATCGCCAATAGGTCAAGCATTCCAACGCTTTCTCAGCTGTTCCAGGGCAGATCGGCATCGCAGATTGTATGTGCAGGAGAACCGATCTGCCCTGAAATAGCTGTTCGGTCCTGAAATGTCACTTCTATCCGACTTTGTGAGTGCAATCTCACATTCCACCCCACTCACAAAGGTCACGCATTCCAACCTAGTCACAAACTTTGATAGGACAGCAGCCCTGTCTAATCATTTAATCAGAGAAATAGATTATAAAATAGGTAACATTACAGTGTAATGTTCCCCATTATAATCCACTTATCTATTTAAATGAAATAACAGCACACACTGTGCAGTTACACCGTACCAACCCCTCCCTCCGGATCCTCATTTGTACTCACCTACCAAGCCTCACAGCCAGCATCCTAGCAAGACGGTGTGCACTGCAGAGGGCGGGGCATGTGACACACACTTCTCCTCTCTTCCGCCTCTGACCCCTGCCCTAGACCAATCTGAAAAGGAGCCATTTATCAATGCTCTCGGGACACATTCCTGTAGCCAGTTCTCTATCAATGTACACAACATTTCATCTAGACCTCAGCTTGTCGCAGCCATAGGCAAGAACGCCAGTCATTTTTACATTTGACACCCTTTTTACCTCACTTTGTGCAGGCACAATGGCGGGTCCTTGTGGCAGACTCAATTCCTCTGATCTGGCACGTGCCATTTTTCTCTCTGGCGAGCAAGGACAAGACAGGCTACTTTTTCTCCTTCCTCAGTACAGTAAACCACAGTGATCCTCGGACATCTCTCGGTCTCCAGTTGCTTCGCACAGAATATTTAACTCTTTCTTCTCTGCAGTGATCGAGGTTGTAAATACCCTTTGGGGGCATTCTCATGGCAGATCATAGACGCAAGGGCAGAGGGTCAGGGGGCCTTGCCAGATTATCCTCAGCAAATGGCTGGGGGGATTGTAGTCTCTCCCCTAAAGGCTCTTAGTCCTCTACGTTGTCCCCAGTCTTAGTCTCTCCACCAGGCCTCCATTGCTTCCTTGGACGCACACCCCTCCTCCTGTCCAGCTGGAGACGAGTTTCCCGACACTCTGGCTGACTTCATGGGAGGACTCTCAGCTTTTTTTTTTTAGAGGCTGCAAACCACATAGGTTGTAAGTTGGCCTCCTTGAAGTATTGATACTCTCAGAATCCCTGTTGGGATTTATAGAACTTCTGGCCAGGACTTTCAGAAGACCCACCAGTATCTCTAATTGTACTCACAGGAGCCCTGCCAGTACTTCTAATGGCACGCACAGAATCCAGGTCAGTATTGCTAACAGTTGTCTCAGAATCCGTGCCAGAACAGAACATCCAGAGCGTCCTGAAATGATGCTGCGCATGTCTCCTCTAATTCAGAGGGTTATTTAAGCACTCTGGAAGTGGGGTGGCTTTCCTGTTTGTGCAAAGAGCTATAATACTGAAGTTGTTCACGTTTGTTGACCCAGACCACCTGGACAACTCTGCTTGCCGCTTGTCATGACCTCCGCCTGAACCCGAATATGCTTTCATCTCTTGCCTTGCCTACTAACTACATGTTGCCAACTTGGACTGCCTGACTCTTCCCTGCTAGCCACCTGTCTCGACCCCTGCCTGGAACGGACTACGCTCTCGTCTCCTGTCCACTGGCAGCTAACCCGGACCGCCTGGCCATTCTCTGTTTATCACCTGTTGGGACCCCCTGCCTAATCCTGACCACACTCTGGTCTACTGTTTCCACATTGGAGCCTTCCTGACCTCACTTATTCCATTGGAGGGTGATCCGGCAGACGGTGACCTGGTATCAACAAGCCACGAAACTCATCTCCACTACTAGGAGCTCTGGTGAAAACCGGCCGATGTTTATACTCCGCACATAAGGTTAGCTCATGCTACCTGCCAGGGGGTGTTGCCCAAATACTTGACATCCCCTCCAGAGTCTGCCTCTAACTTTCCCTGTGAAGCTGCCACACTTCCTGAAGAGGTGGTGGAGGATGATTCCCTTGCTGCTTCAGAGGAATTGGATCAGGAAAGAATCCTATCTGCAGAGATCTCTACAAAACTTAAGGATACTATTGATCTTTAATGACTTGGTTCACAAATGCATTCATTTAAAGCAGTCTGCTTCAGCTCGTCCTAAACTCTCCAGCTTAGGTTCTGTTAAAATGATCAATCTTGGTAAGACATTCCCTGTACACTTGCTTACCATGATAGCAATTTCTCGCCTTCCAAAACGCTTTGATTAGCAGTACCTGTTTTAAGATTTCCCTGTTTTCAAGGGCCTTGTAGACAAAAGACTAGAATCCTCTTTAAGCCTTGTTTTCCTTGGATAGGCCCATCATGCAGCCTGCTGTCTATCTGCCAAACCCTGGCTGTCTGGACTAAATGATTGGTTTGGATCCATTCTGATGAATGCATCTAGAGCTCCTGTCTGTGGTCCTTTGCTGCTGTGTTGACTGGTTGGCTGGTATGCTTCACCAAATCCATGGTATGATCCTATTTTCAGTACATATGAGAAGGATCCTCTGGCTCAAGTGCTGGTCTGCAGAACTTTATTGTTGCTCTCACCTCTGTGATGCAGGTTTCTGCAGTGTTAGCAGCCTCTCCTAGTTTTAAATAGGGATAAGATAATCCTAAGGCTTCGTTCACACAACGTGTGAATGTTCGTTTTGGGATTCCTGCAGCAGGAATCCCAAATATTTTGTTTGGCGGTGGCTGTTGCCATCCGTTCAAGTTAATGACCCGGTAGATGTGTCCAGGGATAGTGATCTATCCAAACCACATGACATTCTGGAAGGCTCCCATAGGAGTCTCCCTGACAGGTCCACCATTGCTAGGTGGATTAGACAAGTCATCATTCAAGCCTATAGTCTGAATAATACCGCCATCATAGTCCTGAGATCTGAAAAATTTGCTATTTTCTGTAAAAGATTCATTTTTACCTGCAGAGTGTGATTCCCAGAATGCTTATGGTGGTACTTATAAAAACATTGAAGTAAGTCCCATATTTGGTACACTTTCTCACAAACATTTACCTAGCATTCTTTAAAGTATCTTGTAAAATGCTAGAATTGGATGTTTGATCCAGAAACCAAGGTAGCCCCTTTCTATCTATCCTGCCTTCCTTCCCACAGCATGTCTTCAATTCACACAAATTTAAAGAAACCTTGTACAATCCCAATCCCAAAAAAAGTTAGGACGCTGTGTGGAATCTACATAAAAACAGAATGCAATGACTTGCAAATCTCATAAACCCATATTTTATTCACAATAGAAAATAGAATCACATTTTTAAACTATGAAAATGTAGAATTTTAAGAAAAAAATAAGGTAATTTTGAAATTGATGGCAGAAACACGTCTCAAAAAAGTTGGGACTGGGCCATATTTACCAGGGTGTAGCATCCCCTCTTCTTTTAACAACACTCTGTAAACATCTGGGAACTGAGGAGACCAGTGTAGTGATGGAATGGGGAGTGCATAAATATAATACATTCTGTGAAAATTGGATCTTCAGGAAACATCCAGGCAAACCTGTTTCTTTTCCAGAGAGTAGTGTTTAATCCAAAAACAAATGAACAGAAACAGCCCGACAGAGTAATAATCAAAATAAAATATCTAGATCTCAGATGACAAAGGCTCCATAAGAACCCACTCCACCCAGCATAGATTTCCAATCTACATATGCAACTACTCGTCTCTCTTCATGACTCTGAATTTCCCCAGTCACTTTAGGCTCTGAATTCATATATACGCTATATTGCCAAAAGTATTGGGACACCCCTCCAAATCATTGGATTCAGGTGTTGCAATCACCTCCATGGCCACAGCTGTGTAAAATCAATCACCTAAGCATGCAGACTGCTTCTACAAACATTTGTGAAAGAATGGGAGCTCAGTGAATTCAAGTGTGGTACCGTGATAGGTTGCCGTGTGTGCAATATGTCAATATTGCACACACGACAATAAAGTCCATCTGTGAAATTTCCTTGCTACTAAATATTCCACGGTCAACTGTGGTATTATAACAAGGTGGAAGCAACTGGGAACAACAGCAACTCCGCTATGAAGTGGTAGGCCACGTAAAATGACAGAGCGGGGGAAGCGCACAGATGCGCAGAAGTTGCCAAGTGTCTGCAGAGTTAATAGCTACAGACCTCCAAACTTTGTGTGGCCTTCAGATTGGCGCAACAACAGTGCGTAGAGAGCTTCATGGAATGGGTTTCCATGACCGAGCAGCTGCATCCAAGCCTTACATCACCAAGTGCAATGCAAAGCGTCGGATGCAGTTGTGTAAAGCACGCTGCCACTGGACTCTAGAGAAGTGGAAATGTGTTTTGTGGAGTGACAAATCACACTTCTCTGTCTGGCCATCCGATGGACGTGTCTGGGTTTGGTGGTTGCCAGGAGAACGGTACTTGCCTGACTGCATTGTGCCAAGTGTAAAGTTTGGTGGAGGGGGGATTATGGTGTGGGGTTGTTTTTCAGGGGTTGGGCTTGCCCCTTAGTTCCAGTGAAGGGAACTCTTAAGGCATCAGCATACCAAGACATTTTGGACAATTTCATCCTCCCAACTTTGTGGGAACAGTTTGGGGATGGCCCCTTCCTGTTCCAACATGACGGCGCACCGTGCACAAAGCAAGGTCCATAAAGACATGGATGAGCAAGTTTGGGGTGGAGGAACTTGACTGGCCTGCACAGAGTCCTGACCTCAACCCGATAAGAACACCTTTGGGGTGAATTGGAGCAGAGACTGCGAGCCAAGCCTTCTCGTCCAACATCAGTACCTGACCTCACAAATGCGTTTCTGGAAGAATGGTCAAACATTCTCATAGAAAACACAAAAAAGATCAAGCGCACTCCTGTGGGCAAACTTCAATTAGATGGCTGTTGTTTGTAGGTGTGCAAAGCTCCTCACTTCAGGGAGAGGACCCTGTCTATTCACAACTGCAGATAAAAACAAAAAGGACAGGAGCGCAACTACCAGAAGTGACGTGAATGGATTCGAATTGGCCTAGTGGATCTATGTAATGAGGAATGTTGCTGGATCTTTGTGTGTAGAATCTGGGTATATACGGCAATGATATGGCAAACAGACTTACGGTTAGAAGCTCCCCCGTGGTCCGTGTGGCGCCCTCCTTTGACAGATCCTGGGTCGAAGAGCCCCGGTGGTGTGAGAGGCTGATCTGTTGGGGGTGCGTGTCCGTATGGCCGCCCACGTTCTCGGCTGGCCGGGCCGAGC